TTCCAGATGCCCATCTGAGAGGGCTCTCAACTGATCCAGAAATGCTTACATGAGGCCATCTTTTCATTGGCATATGGCAGTTTAGCCACAATTAGGTGATAGGGGTTATTATTCACTATATTATCCTTATATAAACATTTACTTTAATTTACTCTGAAAATACTAAAGAATATTCAGATTGTCATATTGAGAAGTAAACTGGTGTATAGGAAGTGTGTTTATCATCTGTACAAAGGTCATATATTTATGAAAGTAGCCAAGGATATTCATTATTGGTTGCCAACTTGTAAAAACTGGCTTTCCGATAAGCACCTCTAAGAACATTTTTCTGATATACCTTCTGTGGGGCTGCAAGTAGGAGAATATTTCATCAGTTAGGAAGATCTACTAGAGAGAGATGAACAAGCATAGTGTGTTTTATCTCAGGCTGCAATAAGTCAGAATTAAAGAGGGAGTTTAGCTACTGATTGTTTGGGTTTTTTTTTTTTTTTGGCAACTATTGTCAGCAACTTGCCTGTGACATACAATATATAATAAAACATAGCAGAGAATTCATAGCATCAAAGGCAAGTGCTTTAAAATACATTTTAGGTGCTTAAAAATATATTGTTCACAAACCACTGAAAGTAACTTGGAACTCTGAGAAAAGAGAGGATTCCCTAAACTTCACAGGACAGCCTTGGAAAGTTGAATGGTATCTTTAACGTATTTTTTTTTTTTTTAGCATATCTGTCATCATTTCAACAGACTTAATAAATGATAGACTATGCATCATTACTTTCTCATTCCTGTGTCACTCAGAACTACAAGGGTACTTCAAAAGTTCCTGGAAAAATAGAATTAAAAGATAATATGAACCTTTCCATGAACTTTTTGAAGTACCCTCGTGTATTATTCCTGTTATCCTTGACTTCCGAATTTTCTTGCTTTAATGTACCTTCTAGTTCTCTTAGAGCCACTGGAGAATTAACAGTGCACATGTGTACACACACACCATATTGGGAGGTAGTACACGTGGTGGTCACGCAGATGCATTCCTAAATAAAACACTGGGTTCAAATTCTGGCTCCACCTGAAACCAGCTATGTGACCTTGGACAAGTGACTTAATGTCTCTGTGTTTCCTTATCTTCAAAGGGTTATTGTGAGGACTAAATTAGGTAATTCATGTAAAGTATTCAAAAGAGTATGGTATATACCTGCTGGCATATGGTTAGTACTCAATAAATAATAGCTCTTTTCATATATATTTTGAACTCATGACAACTGAATTCGTTGAACTTCAGTGTGTGTATGCGTGTGTGTATGTGTTTAATGATCACATCATTTTTGTTTTGCTCTGGCTAAAACTAAAATTAAATTGCCTTTCCTGAATATTATCAGCTAGTGGGGGAGATGGTCCTCAGGTGTGGTGGAACACGGGTGAAATTGCACCAGAATTAAAACACGTCTACTAAGGGAGTGATCTACGTGCAGACAATCAAGTTGGTTTTATATAGTTTATGAAGTGATATCCCACAAGCTCTTTAATAGACATTTTTCACCCAAACATAACGTATTGAGAGGTGAAATTGCTACAGGCTATGGACAAATGGCATTAATTCACTGACACCCCCCTCCTTCTGTTTCTCCTAAGAGTGTTGTAGGTAAAACAGTTCACCTAGGATACTTCCAGAAATTAGACCTCCTGCGTATATCCAAAAGAAAAGAGCCACTTTATACTATGACCTCCTCACTTCTGGAAATGTGTTTCTCCAAAGCATGCCAAGTTTAATGGGGCTTTAGTTGTGTCTAAGGTCAGCCTGCAGGTGGGGGCTTGGAGGAGGAAGCTTTCTTTGATCCATCTAATGAATTAATGAATTAAACAGAGGTGGAGTTCAGAAGCCAGGCTCCTTACTTTTGCTGAACTGGGGCTGATTATGAGCTGGCCTAACTGCTGGAAAAATGCAGCTTCATGCTAGAAGAATTAGGGACATGGCCGAGTCCATTCATCTTCCCTAATCGAGTTCTTGGGAAATACACATGTAGATTAGCCCCTAACAATGACCCCCGGCTGATTGCTTGGAGTACCCTCCACCTTGCCCACAATGGTATTGACTAGCTCTTTGTGTCCCACACAAAGGAAGCCCCAACCTCTCCTTGTCCCGCTCTGCCCTGTTTCTCCCATAGGCCCTTACCAGTGGCTGTTGAAGTCTTTTCTGCCTTTCTCCAGAGACTCTGAAATAAACAGTAAATAAAAGCTAACCTCACCTGGACCTATTAGAGAGAGTTGGGCAGTTCCAGAGGGAATTAACTTTGGAAAATAAGGCCATAAACCCCTTAACAGCGTGTGAGCAGGAGCTTAAGAAAACTCTGCCAATCTTTATTTAGCGGTGATTACAGAGATCAGTTTAATATTGGGGAAGTTGACATAAGAGACATTCTCAAAGGGAAAACAACAAATACCAATTAATTATCCCTAAGGCTGCCCTCTGGTCACCACTGCCCCAGCACCTCAGCCACCTGGCCTATGTAACTGGTATATCAGGTATGTTAGGGTGCCACCAAGCCATATGCTGGGGGGCAGTGCCTTTGACAGCCTAGAAAGCCTGAGGAGGGGCTGAAGGCAGGCTGGCTGTCAGGGGAACCTCCTAAGAGTTTGTTAAGTCGTCCTGGACACCAGTGCCCAAAGGTCACGCACTACAGACTCTTAACTTCATTTCTTCAGGGAGCTAAACTGCTTCCACCTCAGGCTCTTAGATCCAGGATTCAGTCTCAGAAGGATTAAAGACAGACTGCAGGCTCAGATATGCTTCGATTCTTTTCAAAAACACCACACTCTGCAATAATAATTACAAACGAGCTTCAGCCAGAAAACACTGGACAGGGAGTCAGCTGGTCTGAGTTCTAGTCCTGCCCTCCGCCTTAATAGCTGTTTGACTTCGAACCTCAGTTTTCTCTTCTGTAAAGTGGGGACCAATATATTTGTCCTGCTCACCTCACAGGATTGTGAGGTAATAGGAAGAATGTGAAAGGATTCTGAAAACTACAAAGTGGTACGTGGAAACTATAAATGCTATTAATTTTCATTAATTTAGCTTTTTCTGAAAACTATAATTGTCTGACTTCAATTGAAACTCAACTTCTATCTGCTGCAAACTCACATGCTTGCTAGGTTAGTTTACCTTTTCATAGTTTTATCAAAAATAGAGCAATTAGTGTAATGAATCCCTCCCCCATGCCCATCACGGACAATTAATCACTTAACAATCTTTAATGTATTCACTTGTCCTTTATAAATATCCTTCTAACACCACTTTAAAGGTGGCAGATCCAAGGTTGTGTTTTTCCCTTGTTTATTTCTTTGTCTTGTCTCCCAAATGGGACGTTAAACTCCTCGAGGCTAGCAGCCCTAGACTTTCCTCTTTTGTGTGACGCCGGCCCACGACATTGCCCACGACAATGCTGCCCTCAGAAGGGACCCAGTGGACGCTTGTCTGAATGCAAGCGGGAAGAAACAAAAGTAGGGATAAGAAAGACGCCCCTGCCGTGGAGAGCAGAGCGCCTACTGAAAAGGAGCCTTGGGGGATGTGGTCCCCAGGTCTCAGGCCTTTAGGAGAGCACTCTATCCTCCTCTGCGGCTAGCCGTTCAGCAGGGCCGGAGCCCGCCTTGGGTCCTGGCCTCGGATTTGAAGGGTGCAATGCTCACAGTGCCATTGTCCGTCAGCACCGTGGGATGTGAACACACGCGCCCTCAGAAATCATCTTTCCACTTGACCTGTGAGTCGCTCTGGGCCGTGGAAGCCTCGAGAGGCCCCCAAAGGGGAAGAAAGGCAGGCGGATTAGGCCTCTGTCCCCCAGGAAAGCGAGAGGCCTTCTCCCCGGACGAAGGTCCTTCCCCAGGGGGGGGGGGGGAGACGACGCTGCATATCAGTAAATGACTCTGTCCTTCCTGCAGGACGGTCAGCGAGATGAGGCACTCCAAGCGGGTATCCTGCAGAGAGTGAGCCCCAAAGCGAGAAGGACACCCAGCCTCCTGCTGGGCGGCCGGGCCCTTGACGTCACCGGGCCTGCGGGCACACACGGCCCCGCCGCCTCCTGGGGCGGCCTGGAGGGAGGGCGGCTGGCGCGCGCAAGTCCGAGGGGACCGCGGGGAGTAGCTAGATATAGACAGACCCAAACGACCCCAAGTCCGCGACCTCCGACCTCCTAGCGGCGAAGGGAGTGCCGGTGGGGGTCTAGGGGAAGAGACGTGGGATTCCAGTCTGGGAGGAGCGTGGACTGACTCCAGCGCCCTAGAGCTGGGAGGCCTTGGGCTGGTGCTTTCAGGGTGCGCCCGGCCAGGGTGCGCAGCCCTGCGGAGGAGGCGAGCCAAAGCGGGGACGCGGGTCAGGAGGAGGGGATAGCTGCAGGGGGCGGTGAGCCCCAGAAGGGAGGCCAGTCCGAGGTGGGAGGTAGTGCAAGGGGGGAAGCGAGCCTGAGGCGGGAGGTGAGTCCGAGGGCGTCGACCCCCGGGGGCGCAGGATGTTGGAGGGGAGCGGGCCCACAGATCGGGGTCCCTGGGCCTGTTAAATATCCCACCGCCAGTCCCGGGAGTGTTTGTAGCGTTTGCAACGGATCGGTAAGTGGGAGGACGGATGTTCCGAGTGCTGGCCCCGGGGTGTCAGGGCAAGGACCCCGAGGCTGGGCGGGGGAAGGACCCGCCCCTCTGAGGAGGGAGGGACTGAGAGAAGGGGCTGGGTCCCGGGCGAGAGGGGAGGAGCCCGGGGCTAGGAGGCTCCCCGCCTTGAGCGCCCTGAGTCCCAGCTACCCCGAGGCCGAACTTCCGACTCCTGCAGGGACAGAGGTGGCCGCGAGCTGAGCGCTCGCCCACCTCCAGCGCGAGCAGCCCGGGCGGTCGTCGCCCCCCGAGCTTGACCTTGGGTCGGGACCCGTCGGATCGCACGGCCACACTCGGGAAGAGCCAACTTCGAACCTCTTCTCACCGTCTCCAAAGCGCCCTCCGGTCTCCCGGCGCTCCCCATGCACCTGCCGGGCTGCGCGCCCGCCATGGCCGACGGGAGCTTCTCACTGGCCGGCCACCTGCTCCGCAGCCCGGGCGGGAGCACCTCGCGGTTGCATAGCATCGAGGCCATCCTGGGGTTTACCAAGGACGACGGGATCCTCGGCACCTTCTCGGCGGAGCGGAGCGTCCGGGGCGCGAAGGAGCGAGATAGGAAGCTGGGCTCGCGGCCCGCCTGCCCCAAGGCGCCCGCGGAAGGCTCCGAGCCCTCCCCGCCGCCAGCCCCGGCGCCAGCCCCGGAGTACGAAGGTGAGTGCGCGGCCCGGGCTGCTGCCCACGCTTAGGATCTCTGCAAGAGGAGAGCGCCCCTTCCTTAGCTTTGATCAAGGCACCTGGGCGCGGGGTTGGGGGCTCTGTCTATGGCAGGTGCTTCCAACTTGCGTTCAGAGAAAGCTTAGGGGTTAGCCGCAGCCCCCATTCCCGACCTCCCCAGGCCATCTCAGAGCCCGCAGCCGGGCCGGCCAGCGCCCGCGGGGAGGCAGGGAAGGCCCAGGAGGGCTTCGGAGAGTGTCTCTGACCCTCCGGGGCCTCGACGCCCCAGGCCCTCGTCCCTACGGCCCCAAGGAGTCCGGGGAGGCACGACCGAGCCCAGGGCTGCCCATTGGACCAGCCCCCGGCGACGTGAAGCTGTCGGAGGAGGAGCAGCCCAAGAAGAAGCACCGGCGGAACCGCACGACTTTCACCACGTATCAGCTGCATGAGCTGGAGCGCGCGTTCGAGAAGTCCCACTACCCCGACGTGTACAGCCGCGAGGAGCTGGCCGGCAAGGTCAACCTACCCGAGGTCCGGGTCCAGGTAAAGCGCCCCGATGGAGGGACGGGGACATGGGAGAGCCAGAGGCCCAAACTGCTGCCAATGAGCCTCAGAATTCCCGGGCGTCCACGCATTTATTATGGCACCTCCTTGACTTGGCACGCCAAGGGCCCCAAAGGAGCGTCACGGATCTTCGGCGTTCCCCACGCACCACCCCTCGGGCAGTCTGCTCCAGCTCGTAGTGCGATCTCCCCTTTGGGGGTCCCCCTCTTCTAAGTTATAAAGAGTAATTGGCAATGGCTTTCAAGATGAAGAGGCCGACAACTCATTAGAGGAAGCTAGGATAGGGGCGGGTGGGTAGGGGGCTGAGTAGAAAGGCAGCAGCTGGAGGGTAACCAGATGGGGGCCCCCGAAAGTCACCCTCGTCACTAGTTGCGCACACCATGTTGAAAACGAAAACCCTGTCTCCTTGTGAGGGGCCTGGCACCTCACAGTAAAAACTTACGGTGGATTTATTTAAGAAACTGACTTTTCCTTCTCTGGTACATATCCAACCAAACTTCGCGCTGCACAGCCCTTTTCTTTTTATTGTAAAAGGGTTTTCGCTTTAATTAAAGCTGAATTATCTTTAATCCCTGATCATTAAAATATTTGAAAGCCTTAAATATTTGCTAGTCATCTGTGAAAAATCTGGGAGGATTTCCAAATTAAGAGAGTTTACGGAGGCCTGAAAGAGAGACACTGGGAACAAATTTCACTGCATCTGAAAGGCAGTGGAACTAAGGATTTTTGTGTGTGTCTAATAAATTAGATCTCCAGGAAATGAGGATACTCAGGTGTTTGCAGGCATTTAGCCATGTCTTAAAAATAACAGGGGACAAGCTCTTGCCTTTTATCTCTTCTGCTTATTTTAGGGGTTGGAAGTAATGAGTAAAAGTCATGGTTTTAAAAAATAGTTCTCTAATGTGACTCAGGATTAACTAGCAATAACAGTTCAATTTCTCGTAATTTGGGGCAGTAAAGTTACAATGATTTCATTGACGGGGTGGAAATTTTAGCACTTGCTTTTCAGGGTGGCCGTGTGGGATAGGGAGAGGGAAAGAATACAGAGGAGGGTGAAGAAAGGGGAGGCAGAGCTTTCCAGTGCCCTACAGAATACAAGCAAACCAGACTCAGGGCTCCCTTCTTACCTGAGCCCACCTTTGTTCCTCCCTCTTTGCTTGTTTGGGGGTTTTCCTCTGAGTTATGAGATTCTTGAACAACGTTATGACTTCTTTCTGACCACAGGACCAGCACAGTGCCCAGCATATGGCGGTTCTTAACACATGACTATGACATAATCAGCTGCGGGGGTGGGGACAGGCAGAGTCTCCTACAATGTTAAGTGCAGCAGTAGAACAGTATAATAGCTGACCATCCCAGCATTCGTCCTATGACCCTGGATACTAGATCTGAAGGCTACAGCTGATCTTGCAGCAGATGGAGTGGGACAGGCCAGGAAGCCAAGGAGGTGGGGGGTGGGGGGAGGAAAGCCCTCACCCATGCCAGTGTTTCTCTTTTCTTTATTGTTGGCAAATAGATAATATTTCCAGGAGACTCATGGCCTTGGATATGCAGATAAACCTTTTGTGGGAAGGGGACAGGGTACTTACATTTTTGTTCTTTCTCTTATTCTCCCAAATTCAGCCTCATGCACCTGCTCTGTTCAGGTGCTAGGTTGCTGTTTTCTCAGCTCTCCTAGGAAGTCCCCCCCACTCCCACTCCCACTCCCACCCTTTTTGACTCAAAACTGCTTTCTCCTTTGAGACCGCAACTATACCCCCACTTCCCTTCATAAATATAACACTAAAGCCACCAGTTTGGCCAAAGTACTTTAGTATTCTCCGCTAAACTAAACCAATTCTCTACGTTCTGTTTGTGAGAGTGGAACTTGGTAGCGAAACATTAATTACACCATTTCTGGGGCTTTTGACAAATCGTTAATGGAGGTATCATTGCAAGAAACTAGATTTCACTTTGGCCAAGACTTTCTATATGTAAAAAAGAAGAAAAAACATGTACTCACTGAGCTAAGTTCTTAGGGTAATGTCAAAATTAAATTTATAAAGTAAATGTAGATATACAATTGTAATCTTTGAAAGTCATTTATGAGAAACATAGGAAATACTAAACAAATATCAATTAAATAAAAACAAATCTTATAAAGCAGCAGTTCAAATATGCATGGGGTAAAATAAATCCACTTGCTTCTATCTAGTTATCATAACCAGTAATCCGTGGAAATAGCTGTATTTTAACATCCCATGTTACCATTTACTCGACTGAGCAGTATTTATTTATATCTGTGTTTATAATAGAGACAAAGGTAGGTGAAGCACAGAAAGTCTGAGACAAAAACGCAGCAATTGAGAGCTGTACGGTACAGGGAAGAGGCACAGTCTAAACTGAAGTGTCAGGAGGGGCTGCTAAGCAGCAGGTCACAGAAATTTGGTGAGACCTGGTTTCAGAGTCGTACGGTCCGACGGCAGAGTTAAATCCCCTTGTTTCCTGATCACTTGCTGCGTGTTAGGAGTTGGAAACAGATACAAGTATTACTATGGGCGAGATAAACTAGCATAGGACAAAGAGACTCAGGGAGGCAAGAAAGAAGGGAAGACACAAAAAGGAGAAAACGGGATGGAAAAGAAAGGGGAATGCGGGGGTGGGGCAACCGGACGGGGTGAAAGGAAGAGCTGAACCCGCGCTGCGGGTGCGGAACAACCGAGCCCCCGTTTTATGTGCGGCGGGGGAGTCCAGCTGGCCCGGCTGCAGCGGCGCAGGGCGGGACGCGGGCCCAGCCTCCGCCGCAGCCCGACGGCCGCTGTGCTCCCTCCCGCAGGTGTGGTTCCAGAACCGACGGGCCAAGTGGCGGCGGCAGGAGAAGCTGGAAGTGTCGTCCGTGAAGCTGCAGGACTCGCCCCTCCTCTCCTTCAGCCGCTCCCCGCCCTCCGCGGCTCTGGCGCCCCTCGGGGCG